TATATATATATATATATATATATATATATATATATATATATATATATGTGTGTGTGTGTGTGTGTGTGTGTGTGTGTGTGTATGTATGTATGTATGTATGTATGTATGTATGTATGTATGTTTTATTGAATAGGAGAGATGCTATCCTGATGATACCTGAAGCATTTCTTCAAAATCGTTCTTAAAATATGCAAGCCCTAACAAACAAGTGTGAAATACATTTAATGAAGATAGTAAGTAATCATTTATGAGCAAGTTAAAATTCCATAACATTACTACAGAGAAACACATATAGCAACAAAAGACAAAATCTATTTTGAAAACCCCAAAGAAGATCAAACATATCCCAGCATATAAGCACTGAAGTGCCTACATATTTGGTGAAAGGGAATTGATCACAACATCTTCCAATCTTACTTTAAGACAGAAGTTTGTCAAACAATGTTATTAAAATATTTCTTCTCTATAACTGAAAAGTTCAAAAAGATTACATTTCATTCAAAACATATTTAATTTACTCTTGCCAGAAGGATTACGTGCCTAGATATCACAACAGGAATAACCTAATATTTCAGGTTCAATTGAATACAGAGTTGTAAACAAACCTACATTCCACATATCTAAGGGAACTCCAGGAAGGCATGCCAGACATTCCTGTTCTGCAGAAGGAAGTTGGTTTTCAGCCATATTTTTTTCCTCATGATCACAAGTCTGTTTGTCTAGGAACTTCTTTTCTTCTTGCTTTTCATTTAACATACTCTCAGGAAGAGACACTGTTTCTTCGTCATCTGAACTTACAGCAACGTCAGCTTCATTAACACCAGGAGGTAGCAGACCACTCCACATCTCTACAAATGAAAAGATCAAATACTCACTACCATCATGAAGAAATCTCAGCAAAATTATTAAATGCACTGCACTCCTCCATTTTTATTCATTATTGGAAATTAGTTTTTTGTTCGTTATTAGAAATTGAATATGAGAATAAATTAGCCATATAAGGATTGAGAAAAAAAAACAAATTACAAAAATAACAGTGCTTCATTTAAATAGCTGAAAAATACATTAACATTAATGTCCAATAATATCCCTACAAATTATTTTTAAAATTATCAATGTGCTCAAGTCAATTAAATATTACGTAAGTATTTGTTTGAACTGATGTTTTAGCAGTTATAACAATAAATATTTTGAATCATATACTTTTTTTAAAAAAAGAGGAGGTATAAGAAAGTGCAAACTCAGATGCATTTGAAATCATTGAATAAATGTGCAGCATATTCTCTATGCTTATTTAACAAGATAACACACAGTGCAATACAAAATTTATCCAAGTTCAACCTTGTGAATAAATTAGTATACTACAATAGAAAGAAAAAGAATAAAAATATAATAAAAGTAAAAAATATAAATAAGAAAAAGGCAACATGGCTTACATATTTAAAATGAAAAGTGAAAAGATAAATTAATTAAATGCTAAATATTTGCTGATATTTTCAGAAGTCTTTAACAGTTCCTTGGAAGAAGATGACTAATTTCCAATTCAATAGCACTACCACTGAAAAAGCCTGTCTCCTATTTCTAAAAGGAGAAAATTCTCAAGTTATGAAGAACAAAATTTTATTTTAGTCTTCAAATGTACTTTAAAGCACTTGGTATAGTACAGAAATGTTTTTATACATAAATAAGTTCAAGGTGGACTATTGTCTTTACATTTATAAAAGTTGGCAATTGCATATTTTCCCTAGACAGATTTATGATTGACCAGTTTTTCAAACAAAACATTCTGTAGGTGTTCTAGATGTCCCTCTTCAATTTATGTGTATATGTGCAGTACAAAAATATGGAAGATGACAAAAATACAGAATGGAATATGTCATTTCAATATTTTGCATTGTTCCATGAACATAGAAAGCTATTTTGGACTCAGTCTGTTTCAGTTATAATTCTGAATGGTATGGCACTCTCCTTGAAAAATATCTGGGCTATCCTTCTGCGAAGCTCTAATTCTTTGGGCAGACACAGAATATGGCCAGATAGGCCTATATCGAGCTTCAGCATTTGTTCCAGTTGTAGCCATATCTTGATTGAGTGTCCAGTGACAGTAACCATGCCATATCACCACCAAACTAGACGATCTCAATGGGCTCAACATAGCAAAACTACTCAAAATCATAGGTGCAAAATACTAGTAGAAGATAACCATCTCACTCATGTTTTACCAATATTGCAGAAATTGCATTGGTTGCTTGTAGTTTATGAGGTTCAATGTGTTGGTTGAGACCATTAAAGCTCAACTTGGCTTGGTACCTGGGTTCCATCATGACCATTTTCTCCAAGAAAAAACATGCTATCCACTGTATTCATCTCCGTTATCTGGTGAAATTGAAGGAAGTATTTTTCAGTTATGGAACCTTTATAAAATAGCATCCCTCTTGGCACAGATTTTAATCTAAATTGTAAAATTAACAAAGGATAATTTATTCTACATGATGTTGATTGAATATTTAAGGTGCTGAAGGTGCTTACAGATGAGGCATTATACTGTTTTTAACTAGTTTTTTTGTTTTATGAATTATCAGTTATATTTTATTTTTATTGCCCTAATTTGTTATTGTGGACCATTATTAACTTTCTCAAATTGGTGCTATGTAAATAAATACCATACCACACTCTCTAAAATTTTGTGTAGTTTTCCTTTGAATGACTCATCATCCCTTTTTTTACAGTAATGTTTTTCTGTTTGCTTATTACTACATTTTGGTTTTCTTGTTAGTCTTTCAAAAACAGATAGTCAATTGAATATTTGTTACTTATAACAGCAACATTATAAACATTTCTCTCCATTTGTTAGGTTTTATTTTAGAAAATTCAAATTCTGATAATTTTTAATAAAATAAGATTGTGCAGTCTAGATAGATAGATAGAAGACTAGAGATCTCCACATCAGAGGTTTGATAGTCACCTATCAGGATGTTTTAGGGATGCATTGAGCAGGAGATAGTACTAGATAAGCTCCAAAATCCTTTCCTACTCTGTTCCACAATATGAAACAACACATTAATTTTATTCTTGATATATACTACTTCTGAATGGAATTTTTAATTGTTAGCGTTTCTCACATGTGTAGCATTACTAAGAATAAACTAAAACCCAACTGATTTCTACTAAACTTGATAAATGTATATAAAATTATGTATTGCTGAACTTTGATAGTCCCTTACTCTGAGTATGCCTAAAACAGTGAAACAATACAAAACAATTACCTTTGTCCTTTTTGTTTTCCTATTCACCACTTATTTGTATTATTAAAAGAATCCGATAGATTATATTTAGGTACAGAACTTGAATATACACTTATTTATGCTTCATTGAAGAAAAATCAAGTTTACCAGTTTAGAATCCCAAGATTTCTAATCCAAAAATACATAGAATGCAAAAGGATAGCTACAGATTACAATAGATGACACAAGACCACATTATCCTACAAAGATTTCAGCAGCAAAGCAACACCTGAATATAAAGATGCCTATCTTCCTTCACACAAGAATATTATCTTTTTTGCCTCAAATCTCATTATAGGGGCAAACCTACATAGATATTAATCCAGCATTACTACACTTAAGTACAGAGCAGGTACATGATCCTGTTTTTGGAGCAAACATACTCGTATGGAATCAGTATAGCTAAAACTTCTTTCCCCCATCAATCAATTAATCTGCTACATTTAATTTCATGGGATTGCAGTATTATAGCCCATCTGAAAAGGAAATAATCAGAAACATCTTAATGTTTTCAAAACAGAAAAGTAAACGTGCTTATCACCATTCCTTTTATTCCCAGACCATCCTTGTCATTCACTGCAACAGGTCTTAATCCAAAATTATAAAACAGCCATGTTAAGCGTACTCTCTTCCATTACACACTTTGTTTATAAGTTATTTCTATTACTGACCAATCTTACACTAATGTATGTGTGTGTGTGTCTGTGTATTACACCCATGTATGTATGTATGTATGTATGTATGTATGTCATACACACACTCATACACACACAGACTCGTTTCGTATATTGCAGCAAACATTTATGATGTTAAATGATTCAGCACCTGGATTGCACCCCCCTCTATGTCCGTGTTGCAGTTCATGGTTATCCCGCTCTTTAAATCCCTCACCAACTTATCTACGCAAAATGTTCTGCAGTTAGTATGAAATGCTAAGGAGCCCCGAGACCGTGGCAGCTGAGGTGATGTGTAGCTCGTTCTAGTTTCCTTTTACACAAAAGCAGCAACACAACCACCGCCTAACCTAAACGCAATTTCCCTTTTCCGCCAGACTACCGTTGGCGGCTTTTGCTCTCACCTCACGATGGCCAACACATCGACCAGTCAATAAAAACAACTGAAAAACAGGGTGAAAAGAGAGAGGGAGGACGAAACTCGGGCACAAAAGACGCTTCAGAGTTGGGAAAGGAACGCCTTAAGGCGCCGTCGGCCGGGCTCATGTTTCCCGTATTGCACACCCGCGTCTGCCACCGAGACGCCTTGGACCCAAAATCCAAGTCAAACCGCCCAAGCAACTTACTTTTCTGGTTCCTTGAAACCACCCAGTTGTTCCCCCCCGCCGCCAAAAAAAAAACCCCACTCAAATTACCAGCCTGACTTACCGCCGGATCTTGTTTACATTGCCGCCATCTTGGAGCTTCTCCCATAGCCGGCCTTGACGGTACGAGCTCCGCCTCTCCGCCGAACCGCATTGGCCAGCCTTTTGGCACGGGCGTCTCTATAGCAACCGCGCGTTCTTCTTTTTCCCCTGCCGATAGGCTCCTGTCGAAAAGTTCCCAGTTTTTCTGGCGGGCCGTTCTCTGGGTTCGCGGAAGCAAAGTTGAGGGGGAAATTCAGAGAAGCCAAGAAGATTGAAAATGGTCTCGGTATCACCCCTAACACACATACACGCTTACCAAAAATTATATTAAAATACCATTCTGAGAGTACCCGCATATTTAGGCTTCACCCTAACTTTAATTACGTGCCATCAAATCGTTTTGGCCTGCTGGAGATAACTTAGATTTTCTCCATGACCAATAATTGTTCATAACCTGGTCTTTGAGGTCTTTCAAAATTGCACCCATTGCCACTCTATCTGGATCTATCCATCACCTCTTCTTCTTCCTTGTATGTTTCCAAGTATTAGAGCCTTTACAAAGAGCTGGTTCTTTGCATGGTGTGTACAAAGTAGGATAATTTGAGTTTGGTCGTTTGTGCCTTGAGAGAATTCTGCGTTGATTTGTTAGATGAGCCATTGGTTTTCTTGGATGTCTAAGGCATTTTCAGGAGTCTTCTTCAACACAAAACTTCAAAGATGTCAGTACTGTTCCTATCCTGCTTCTTCAAAGTTCATCTTTCACTTTTGTGGAGGAGTATCACATGGAATATCAAAGCTTGCATGATTTTGGTCTTTATAGACATAGATACAGCATGGCATTTTTTTTTAATCTATGCCAAGGCCTAGCAATCACTAAATAAGGCATCTTTGGATTCCCCTCCCTTGGCTTTCAGAATAAAGCAATAAATAACCAAAACTATCTATATAAATTATTATTTAAAAAATATATAAACAAAATAAAGGCATCAAATTGCCAAGAAAGGGATAGTTGTTTCTGTTTGGGTACCAAAATAATACAATTGACTCACGGGGAAGGGAGCTTCAAGATCCTGGACTTTGAGATTTTTAGATCTAAATTGGTTCACGCTACCCCAGACAGACCTAGTCCACAACTTGGGAGTTCTCCTCAACTTGTGACTCAAAGATCAGGTGGCAGTTGTGGTAGGAGAACCTTGCACAACTTTGGGTTGTATGTCAGTTGCAGCTTCTGGATTAGGAGTCCCTGCATTCAGTCATTCAAGCCCTGGTCCTCCCATGCTTGGAATATTGCAATGCGCTGTATATGAGACTACCCTTGAAGAGAATTTGGAAGCTTCAGCTGGTGCAGAGTGCAACAGCATGGGCAGTCTTTGGGACCCTAGAGTGGCCCATGTTACACCACTATTCTGAGCCCTGGTTTGCTTCTGGTGCAATTCAAAGTGTTGGTTATTTCCTTTGAAAGCCCTGTGTGGCATATGTCCAGATTACCTGACAAGCCATCCTATGGGACAGGTCCACCCCATTCATGCCAGCAAAGGAGGCATGCTGCAGGTGCTGTAAGTCAAGGAATTTTGGAAGCAGGACCCAGAAGAAGAGCCTTCTCTGCCACGACCCTGGCCTTTTGGAACCTATTTTCCCCTGAAGTGTGGTTGGCTCACACCTTCCTAACTTTCTGTAGTCGCCTATAGTCCTGGCTTTATCAGTTGGTTTGGTACCCCGATGGGAAATTTCACACTGAAGGTCGATTAACAGCAGTTCCCACATTTCCTCCCACCACATATATTGTCCTTCTTTTGTTCCCATGTTTATTATAACTTGTATTTTATTGTAATTTTAATGTGATTTTATATATTTATTCATATATTTATGGTTTCATTTTAATGTTACAAGCCACCCAGACTTGCCTTGTGGTGAATGTGCAGCAAACAATTTTAATAATAATAATAAACTGCTTCATCTTAGCCAACATGATGGCAATATTAATTAATACATTGATGTAATTGGCCATATTTATCAATACATATTGGGAAATTACTTGCATCACTACAGGTAATCTCTCCCTTATTTTAAGACACGTTAAACCATGAGCTATGATTTACAAGTCACAATTTTTGGAATCATACATCATGCAAAACCCAAACCAAACATTGTGGTTTAAATAATGAATCAAATTACAGAATTGCTTTTCAAAGGAATAATCAAATAAGGAATTATTGATAAAACTATGAAAACCTTGTGTCCCTTGTTATAGAGAGGTTCAGCTGTGTTAGTTTTTTGTAGATAATGTCATTTGCATTGATGAGTAAGAAGATCACAACAGTTGCTAGGCTACTTCTATTTATTATAAACATACCTACTGATTTCTGTATATTAATCAAAGGATTTGTGTACAAGCTGGATATAAATGTTTTCCTGACTATGAACTCAACAACTTAATCAAACAATCCATAAGAATACTTCAAACTTGTTCTGTCGCCAGTAAAGAGACGGCTCGCAACCAACGATATCTATTTAAACTTCCCGCCGCTATAGGCGGCCAATCAGATACAGATGTTACTAACCAATCGTATCGTTGCAACTGCTAACCAATAGGAACGTCTTCTTAGAAGTCTCTATTTGAATACACTACAAAACTGATATTAGTAATCATCATGTTTCAACTTGAATTGCCCTTCTCTCTTAAAACCAAACATTCCTTATGGAAATGATTGGTTATAAGCATCTCTTTTAAGGCCATGGGATTGGGCTGCACAGATCCAAAAGACTATAGAGAGCAGTAATATTTTGAAAATACCCTTTACTACCAATGCAGATTTTGTAGCCTGTTGTAAATGTAAGTTTAGTCAGTTAGCTTTTATTCCGACAAGGAGACAGGACTCCATATAAATGATTCCTTTTATCGTTCAGAATAATTATCTTTTGAGTCTTCTTAGACTCATTATCCTTACCTTGAAATCTATACCTTCCATTGGTTAAGCAATTTAATGTGTATTTTGATATTCTGTTATTAGTCCAGTAATCCCAGAACTCTTAAAATCCAGATAAAGTCATTTGAATTGAATATGTCTCTTATGCTACAAGTAATGTTCCATTGACAGAAGAGGATTTTTATGCCAATACAGATTGTTTTCAAGGAATGCAGTGCTTTGAGTTGCTGGCATCAGATAAATTCCTATACTATCTACCTAGAATTCAAGGGTTGGATAATAATACAAATAGATGAATTGATATAACTGGAAAAATTGGTAGTTCTGAGATTAAAATGTGTAAATCTATATTTCCAATTTATGATTTTCCTTTTTTGGGGAAACAAATAATTCTTATCATATATTTTATTTTACAAGCAATTCTTAGCTTATTGATTCCCCACAAGTGCCATAGGAATTAAAGTGAATGTTTGCTCAGTAAACTTTCTTGTATCTAAGATAATTAAGTTTATATCAAATGTTGGCCAGTTTTACATCCCGATTAATCTCTGTCTCACTTTCTGTGTGTGTATGTGTTTCTCACATCAGCAATCTTGTTCTTATATGTTAAACATTTGATTTATTTTTTTCAAGTTAGTGGAAGTAACTTCCTTTTTTTACTCAAATTCCTATCTTGGAAGTCTTCCAAACAATTACTCATATAAATGAGATGTGTCAGAATGTGAAATAACTAAAAGGATCAGCAATTACACTGTAGGCTATAGAACCATTGTTGCTATTGCTTGAAAAATTAAGGTAATAAATAATAAAATAAAGGTGTTGTGCATATCACGCATCTGTGTCAGCATTGGCTTTAGTCAAACTTCTCTAAATAGGACAGGATTTGCTACTGCAAACACCAAAAAGTCTATGCCATATTGTACACAACACAAATCAATAAGTGGATATATATCTTACTTCAGGGTTGTGTAATCTGACAGGCAATAAAGAAAAGTAAAGAGTTCTCCTGTTCAGTTGTGTCCAACTCTAAGGGGGCAGTGCTCACCTCCATTTCTTAGGCAAGGGAGCCAGCATTGTCCAAAGACTCTTCTTGATCATGTGGCCAGCATGACTATATTCCAAAGAGCATGGAACACTGTTACCTTCCAACCAAAGTAGTGCCTATTTATCTACTTGTGTTTGTCTGCTTTTTAACAACTAGTTGGCAAGAACTGATACAAGAATGGGAGCTCACCCCTTGGCAAGGTGCGTGAGTCTTGCTGTCAGATTACCATTCCATTTGCTGAGCCATAGCACCCCCTATGCCACATTGTAAACAGCACAAATTAATAAGCACATATATATTTCAGGGTTGTGTAATCTGAAATATCAGCATACAAAGGGCCACAGCAGGTTTTAAGTAGTGTTCCATGGTCCAAAGAGATAAAATACTGAATCAGGATATTTTTAGTCTGCTCTCTTACCCAAATAAAAATAGGCTAATTTTTGCCATAGTTCCTTCTGGGGACATTCTGGGACCACAAGGCTAGTGGTGGCTTGTGAGCTGTATTTGTTATAAACCTGCCCCACCCAAATACCTTGCAGAAAAATCATGAGGCAACAAGTAGAATTTGAAAGAAATCAGCAAACATCCATCGATAAAAATACATGTAATATATTGAATGGAGATACATAATTTTTGTGCTTTATAACATACCCATAGCATAGTCCTGTAGCAGATGTATTGCTCACAGGTTCAATTCTTAATTTCCCCAGGCAAAACTGAGAAGGGCAGGGCTAACATACTGACTAAGCCTTGATTTAGTTTTGTTTAGTTTGGGTTTAGCAGATTAGCTCATACTTTAACATTTGAAGCAATTTTATTAAATAATAAAATTACTTGGTAATGGCTGGCAAATATGCCCAGGATTATTATTTTATGTTTATACTTTTATTTCATAATCAGATACATATCAGAACTAAGTCCCATTACATTTCTTGTAATTTATTTATTCTCAGGTTAACTGATTATACCATTGCGTCATGAATTTGACTTGCACACAAATTCTGATTTTCATATACAAAGTCTATATTGTCCAGCATAGTGCCTGAACAATCAGTGTGTCTTTGGAGTATCAGTATTTAACATATCTTTCTATCACATATAGAATAGAATGTATTCTATATATTTTGAC